TAAATATTATCTTGCTTCGTTTAGTGATATTGTCTTAACATACTACTAATCATGTTAACTACAAGAATAAAAAAATAAGTTTCTTTACTTTTAACTAAAAAACTAAAAACCACTCTCAAATTTTTTTACTAGGTTAAAAGTTAAAAAACGGTTTCTTAATTTCGTTAAGAATTCCTACCCTAAGAATTTTGCAATAAGTATGCTCTAACGCAGCAGTCATCAAGACAAAACCATACTCCCTCCATTTTAGAATATTTATCATTTTAAATTTAATTTTTGTCACAAATTAAGTGTCGTTTTAAAGTTTTGAGATAAAATTTATTAGTTTTATATAATATTCTATTTTTCTTTTGGTTGAAAAATGGTTAGATAGATAATTAATTGTGTTTTTATCTTAAAAATATATAAAATTAAATGTTTTTTAATTTGTGTGTAAAAATATAAAATGACAACTAAATTGAAACATAGGTAATAATAGTTATGAATTTATACTGGCCACTTCTATTTTTATGTGCTTGGACTAGAAGCTTCTTTCCTTTCCTGTAAAATGAGTAGAAACTTTTTATGTTATCATATCAAATCATTTTTACTTTTGCCATCGTTGGACTTTGGTGTCGAAGCGTCATAGGAGAGATAGATGATTTTTAACCAAAAACTATAAAAAACTATGAAAGTATGTAAGAGCAATATTATTGGTAGTACTAATTTTTGAATTTTAGTTTATTTTATTATTATTGTTATGTAAAGTGACAAAATTAGAAACAATCCCAAATGTAGACTATTGATAAGATTTTTTGTTGTTTCTTAGTAAATTAATTTTTTATTTTAATAAATATTGACATATAAAAGATAAATTTTAAATAAAACATATATATAAAATTACAAACCAACTATCAAGTGAGTGAATTTATCAGAGTGAATGAAGACTCAATTTTGGGATCAACATTTATACCAAAAAACTCAATTTGGGACATTTTAAAAAGATGGATCAAACAATAAACTACTAAAAGCTAACGTTGTTCGATCTCTTCAAGTCTAACTAAAATTTTCTTCCTGCTGCTCTTTTCCTTTTCGTTCTTCTTTATGTTGAGTGGCGTTTAAAATAAAAGTAGAGGGATCAAAGACAAAGATAGCCACAATCAAAGCAAAACCATAATAAGCGAACAAAAACAATTACAAACCACTAAACATCTCGTTCGCAACTCCTTTTTAATCAAACCCCTTTTAAAAAGATAAAATAAACAAAAAAGTAAAGGTATGTGTATCTTATTGCACGTTACAGTCTGAACCATCCAATCCATGCACGTGTCCGTCCCATTTCAAGACGTATCATCTTTTACATGCAATATATAAAGCATTGCAAATGGAACAGTTTGTCACATTATAACTTTATTTAAAATAAAGAAAATAAATAATGGCGGAGGATCAAGCAACGGCAGCGATGGAAACATCGAAGGTGGAGAAGCAGCCTGAGACCATAACAGAGTCTGAAGCATCGGGAGTGACCACGACGACAAAAAGGATTATGGTTGCTATCGACGAGAGCGATTCGAGCTTTTATGCTCTTCAATGGGTCATTGACCATTTTGCTACCCTCTTGATGACCACTGAGGCTGCTGAAGCGGAAGGTGGCTTGCTCACGGTGGTTCATGTGCAGGCTCCGTTTCATCATTTTGCTGCTTTTCCGGCTGGACCAGGCGGCGCAACAGGTCCTGTCTATTGATCTATCTTTCTGGTTTTGTTCTTTAGTTATAATTGTTGGTTTATACTGGAGTATGAAGATGAACTACGAATGGCCCGTTACCATAGGAACACATAGAACGGTCTAGTCAGTATTCATATAAGTATTTTTATTCAAAATTAAAACGACTAAAACTGAACAATTTTTGTTGAAATATAATGTTTTGGGAATCAGTTGTAAATATTTTACTTAACTATTTCAGAAGGGATAGAATTCTTACTTGATTTTTTTTTAGTAATCCATACATGTTCTTTACTATGGATTCCTACTAATGCATCATTTCTTTTTTTTTCAAAATATTGTCTTTATAATTTTTATTATTTAGAGTTATTTACCTACATGGCTTAATAATACAATGAAGTGTCTAAAAAACATTTTTTGACTTTAATTTCTGACAGTCCAAAACTGGATAAATTAATTGCTATAAAGAAAACATATGTCACATTTTATTTTATGGTATGGTGAATAACTTGGTTGTGTGAAACGGGTGTACATATTGCAGCAGTCTACGCACCTTCGGTGATGATAGAGTCAGTGAGAAAAGCACAACGGGAGACCGCTGCAGCGCTTCTCTCACGTGCACTCCAGATGTGCCGAGCCAAACAGGTCACCCTTCAATTTTGGTTTTTACATATAGTGATCCAATAGTTACTTGTAGGTTATAATCGATGACCCTTTGACAAAATAAAAAATCTATGACCATACAAATTGGTATAAACATAGCAAAGGGTTTTCAGATTAACCACAGGTCTACATATGACGCTATTAATCATTCGGGACCAGTTACTGAGTCATATACAATGAATTAACCCCAGTTGAATAACATTCATAAAAAAAAAAAAAAAAAAAAACAAACATAGAAATGTAAACATGAATGATTAAATGTCAACCACGTCTGTAATGCATAGTGTAACATCAGTTATTAGGTAAACGACAATAGGTTAATCTTTTGTTGTATATGTTTTAGTGGAATATCCATGCGAGATAACACATCATATTACTAGGTAGATTTCATTATTTGGCATCAAAGGAAGTGAAAGTAATATACAAAACTTGTGTGATATTTGCAGATACGTACTGAAACTCTGGTGTTTGAAGGCGAGCCAAAGGAGATGATTTGCCAGGCGGTGGAGCAAATGCACGTTGATCTTCTCGTTGTCGGTAGTCGTGGCCTTGGCAAGATCAGAAGGTATATATAATACATTAATTATTTTCTTTTTTAATTCCTTTAAACCAGCCTCAAAATTTATGAAGACTGTTGTGCGTTTTGGAAGAGCGTTTATTGGGAGCGTTAGCGATTACTGTGCTCATCATGCCAACTGTCCCATCCTTATTGTGAAGCCACCAAAGGAGATTACTAGTTAAGTAACAAAGTTTCCACATGTTTGGGAAAATCTTATGAAGAGTGTGATGTTCGTACGTGGTTGAAGATATTTAGCTTGGATTGATCATCAATAATTGAAGGTGTGTGTGTCTGTGTGTTTGAATGAAGAGTGATGCCAATATATGAATAGAGTCGAATAATGAAGCAATATAACTTGTGGTTTGTGTGTGCACCTATGATCGTGTTTTTACTTGTAATCACACTGTTGAATTTCCAGATTGTAATTACCAAAGCATCTTCTTCTCATCTTGACTAAACCATATGAGAATCAAAATGTTGGTGATGACATCTTTTATAGGAAGTACAATCGATGGACGTAGTACATATGAAAACAACTTAAAAACAAAAATGAAACCTTTAAATTTCTTTAAATGAAAGCATTCAAAAATTTTCTATTCAGAGCAGTGCAGAAAGCTTCATAAAACAACAGAGCAAAACATCTTAAACATATCTCATCCAATCTACTGATAAAGAAAACATAATCCTCATTGATAAGACTGTAACACTTATGACACAAGGAAACTCCTTAACGATTGGCCTTGGCAACTCTTTCAATCTCATCCTTCTTCTTGATGGCATAGCTGCAAGAGATAACAATTAATCATTATTACCTTTGACTAGTGAACAATAATGAAGTTAGTAGAAGATCAACGAATAGAGCGGTGTTGTACCTGTTGGACGAGCCCTTGGCTGCGTTGATCAATTCATCAGCAAGACATTCAGCAATAGTCTTGATGTTTCTGAAAGCAGCCTCACGAGCACCGGTTGTAAGCAAGAAGATAGCCTGGTTGACACGTCTAAGAGGGGAGATATCAACAGCTTGTCTCCTAACAACACCAGCAGATCCAATTCTTGTAGCATCTTCACGTGGACCACTGCACTCAACCAATAAACAAAACCATTATAAAAAGGAAAATGCAAACTGTTACAACTATATTACAGCATTGATAAGCCTTTTGTACCTGTTAACAATGGCATCGATGATGACCTGGATTGGGTTAGCATCAGTCAAAAGATGGATGATCTCCATGGCGTGCTTGATTATTCTCACTGCCATCAACTTCTTTCCGTTGTTTCTTCCGTGCATCATGAGAGAGTTTGTGAGCCTCTCAACGATTGGACATTGAGCCTTCCTGAATCTCTTCACAGAGTATCTTCCAGCAGTGTGGGGAACAAAGGTGGCGTGTTTAGCTGCCTGAACTCCAATGTAGTCAACAAGACTGATATCTGTGACCTACAAGATATCGAACAGAGAACAAAAACAATCGTTACTTACAACACTAAAGGTCTCACCAACATTAAAATGAAAATAATCATCGGGTAAAACGAAAATAATGTAGCAAAAATTAACGTAAATGAAACTAATTGGGCTCAAGATAATAATAACTATAAGAAGTATTACAAAGTGTGAAGATAAATCAAAAACTGAAAATTGAAAACGAGAAACGAACTGCAAACACCGATAAGTATTACACTTTGATCATGTGATTGTGATATAGACAGAACAGTTGTAATAACAATCATATCTATAGAGAAAATTGCATTTTAAGAAAGTATAAGTCAACGTGACTAATACTAAGCTACTGAACTCAATGAGAATAATATATATAAGGAGTGTTACAACCAGAGCAAGAGTATCAGATTATACTCAAGCAATGCAAGATAAGACTTTGAAGACTTTAAAAAATTGATAAAGTATTACAATTTGATCTTAACTTATGTACTAAAAGCTAATGTGATTGTCATACAGACATAGACAGAACAGTTGTAATAACCATCAATCTACAGATAAAATTGTAATATTAAAGAAAGGCTAGATTCCAACTAAGTCTGCTACATAGGAAATGAAGAGGCGAGTAAATGAAAGGGTGAGGAAGTTACCGAAACGTCGTGGTAGGTCCAGCGGTTGAAGAGCTTGACTTCACCGGTAAGCTGCTGCTGAATCTCGGCGTCGATTTCTACGGCGGCGGCCATGGCTGTGAGAGAGACAGAGTATGAGGCAAATTCACAGATACGAGAAGAGAATAAAAGAGAGAGAGAGAGGATCACCTGAGATCGGTCGTTAAGCTGTTGCGCGGGGTGAGAGTGACGGCAGAGAGTGTGAACAAAACGCTTTAAGAGGACGGACAAAAACCCTAAGAGAGAATTTATATACAAATGTAGAGATTAGGGTTTTGGGCTCAAATGAAAAGCTTGGGCTTATCCAATGTACAGAACCGGGTAAAATGTGTTCCACGGTTTGTTTGTGGTTTAGCTGGTTAACTAACAGGACCATTGTAATAAATTTTAAAATACCAATTATTTTCTATATATAGTATTTTTTTTTGTTTTTTATTAGAATGAAAAAATAAAATTTTCTTTTGATTACCATGATCAGTTTTGAATTCATGTACATTTTGCATTGGTTCAATGACTATTATTGCAGATACATCAAAATTCAAAAGGACCAATCCTTAGTATGTACATGAACAAAGGTGATTTTTGACTCCAAGCTACAAAGAAGAAGATAAGAGGTATACAAAGAAAACTCAAGCTGGCTTAGAAGAAGGGGAATAACAGATACTCTGCATAGAAGAGATTCCATATAAACCGGTAATATCCTGCTATAGCTTCCTGCAACAATTAAAAAAAGTTTCTAGACTCCATTAGACACACACTTCCATTGATCATTTATTCCTATCATCATCATTTTCTGAGATTATTTCATGATAAGAAGTGATGTCTTGCACAAGTGTTTTACCTTTGTGTAGTTTGCTTTTTCTAACACCCATGTCTACAAAAAGAACAACAACAGTGATGTTAGAAACTGATGAGATCAGTGAAACAAATCATATGGTTATGAAGTTTTGGGACATTATCTCAGAGTATCTTGGGATGCATTACCTGGAAAATCAAGCATGAAGTCAAGATCATATGTGCAGGAATCATCAAGCTACCTCTAAACACCTGTCAAATGTTTAAAAGCATAGACGAATTGTGTTTCAAATCTGAATACGAGAAATAGTGTTACAGCAAAAAAAATCATGGAAACAGATTATGAAGCTGATGAATGTAGTAATGGTGTTCATGCTTAAGATTAACCGAAATTAGAGGGAAATGTGTTCACCTGAGGCATGTAGAAAGCCAATGATATGGCAGAAATGTAGTTCACTAGCAGAAGTCCGGAACCGAGGAATGCAATGTTCCTCACTCCAAGTTTTGTTGCTAACGTTGATATTTGGAACCTAATCAACAAAATGATTGATAAGGCTATAACTTAGAAACAGAATCTTCTCTGCTATGGGATGCTGAGTATATATGCAATGCTATATGTGTAATTTCTTACTTGCGGTCTCCTTCAACATCAGGAAGATCTTTTGTAATAGCAATGACCAATGCAAACAGTGTCACAAAAGACGTGATGAAAGCCACAGGTGCACTGCACATATGATGAAGCCGGTTAATCACATGTTTAGAAACTGTATTCATCTCACTATTCCGACCCATTACTCAAATGACTACTAACCTCCATTGAAACGAAAGTCCAAGAGCAGCTCTAGTAGCATGGTACACACCAAAATTAAGAAGGAAACCTCGTACCTGAATAAGAAAATGTCGATACAGAAGACATGTCACTAAATTCCATGGTGAGAGCTAACTTATTAGATACAGAAGCATAAAACACAACCCCTTACCGTGGCAATAATAAGAAACGCTGCAACTGGATATCTTTTCATTCTAAATGGTGGAACAGAATAGATAGTCCCCAGAAAAAGACCAAGAGAGTATAGGCATGTAATGAACGGACCAAAGTTGAATCCAACAACTGTTAGCCCTGCAACTGCAAAAAATATCACCAACAACCACGCAGACTGCACTGAGAGATCTCCTGCTGCTATTGGCAAGTATGGTTTGTTCACTCTGCAAAATACAAATAGTTTAACCTCAAACAGAAATAACTTGGATGTAATAATAATAGAGACCAATGTACATGTATGCATCTAACGGGTGTCACATACTTGTCAATGCCAATGTCGTAGATCTGATTGATCCCAACTATATAACCATTTCCACATATAAGCGCAAGAAGACCTGAAAGTGCCTTGAGTACGAGACTCCACTTGATGAGATGAGTGTTCTCTATCAAAGCTCTTGCCACCAAGGCACTGCCATTAATTTCAACAGTCAAAACAAAACGAAACCAAGGAACATGAATGCAACATATACTAACGTGCATCCTAAAGCTGTTCCACGGATGGTATGTGGCCTAAGAAATCTCCAGCAAGCATCTTGGAAACGCGCAATTCTATCAATAACTGGATCGGAACCAGCAGCACCAACCTGAGAACATGCCTGATAAAAAAACGCACAAGTAAACGTTACTCAACACTATATATTATTACAGATAAGCAGCATAAGTTCAAATGAATGAATGGCATTTTCCACTGGAACAGATTTAACAAGATTCTGTTCCAGACAAAGTACACAAACCAAACTGGACTAAAAGTCAACGCAACGGCTAACATGTTTGTTAACCAAAGAGAAACATAGAATGAAACCATACTCTGATCGAGATTTTTCTGTAGTTAGTTGAAACAAATTTCGACCGCATACACGAACTTGATAAGCTCGTGTAGCCAACATCTTTAGTTCGGTTTAAAAGCTTCCCAGCTAAATGCACAGAAGGCCCGTGATGATGATGAGAAGCTGCTACGAAACGAGGTGAAGAAGAGGAGAACCGAAGACAAGGTGAATGCGAGATCGAGAGCTCCATTGATGCCACTAGCCACACAAAAACTCTTACTGTGCCACTTGCTGTTACAACCAAACCATTAAAAAAGATTGCATTTTGCAATTCGGTTCCTCTACTCTTGAAATCTATCAGTAGAAGCCTACAACTTTTTAATTTGATTTTAAAAAATTAAATCATAATCAATTGATGAAGTGAATACAAAACTGGGTTACATTTGATGACTTAAAACAATATTGAAAGATAAAACATACAAAATCTTGTTAAGAGGGGGAAAGAAAACACACTTCATGTTAAGTTTGGTCTCTCAAGAGCTGTCAAGACAGATTTGGTTCGGTTTCAGCTTGTGCTTTAGAGAATCCTTTTGAACTCTTTGACAATGCTTCAGCTTCATCAGAAGCACGAGCAGTTAAGTTGACTGTCTCAGCTTCTTCCTTTTCATTCTCCTTCTTGTCCATGATGGCTATTTTTGAGGGAGATTTGCTTTTGGTTTCAGCTGATATCTTTGTCTTTCTATTCTCTTCATCAATCATGTCATTGACTTCAGTCTCTACACCTCTGGTTTCATTTGTTATTCTCTGTTTTGTCTCAGCTCCCTCCTCATTTTCCTTCTTCTCCATGACTATTCTTGCGGGAGCCTCGCTTTTGGTTTCACCTGATATCTTAAGCTCGCTATTCTCTTTATCAGTCACGTCACTGACTTCAGTCTCTAAACCTTTGGTTTCATTTGTTCTTGTCTTTTTTGGCTCTGGACTCTCTTCCTTATTTTCATCCATGACCAAAACTTCTGGAGCTTTTGTTTCAGTTCTCTCTGACAAATCAGCTGCCGTGTTGTCATTTCCTTCTTTGATGAACTCTTCCATTTCTAAAAGCTTTTGAGCTTTTGACTCGCCTTCTTTGTTAACATTCTCTGCTATCTCAGCTTCAGAAACTTTCTTCACAACTTCTTCCACCTTTGCATCATCTACCACAACCTCTGCTTCCTTTGAAACCACATTATCTTCCGGAATCTTTTCACCAGCTGTCTCTGGTTTTGCTTTGATCTCAGCTTCTTCTAAAGCTTTCTTCTCTGTATCGTCAGGTTTACTCTTTGGTTTGATTACTAAAGCCCCCAGCTTTGCATCAATCTCCTTGACTAGATTCGTCAGTGCTCTTACATTTCGAGCTTCAGACAACCTCGCAGACAACTACAACACACCACAAACAAAAAAAAAGTTTCAACCAAAAACATTCATGTTCAAGCTTGAAATGTCATTTACTAATATTTTCACCTGCTGTATCTGCTCAGCTCGAGGTTTAAGATCATCCAGAGAAGCTTCTTTATAAATACTCTTAAGAACACACATCAAATGCGACCCCACATTCTCCACATGATGCTGCTGAATCTCACACTGATGCACATCAGCTAAACAACCAACACCACGAAACGGACAGTTCACAAGCTTCATAGTACACACAGTAATACAATGCCTATCCATCTCACGTCTCATGATACTCCTCTCTCCGCAGTTCTGCTCACACGGTATCATCTTAAACGGACAAACAGAATCATGACTCTCCCTCTGATTCGCACAGAAAACCGCATTACATCCTTCGTTCTCACAGTTCATCGTTCTATAACCACAATCCAAAACATGCTCCTCGAGCTCTCCTTGTGTTCTAAACTTCATCTCACAATGAGAAAGTCCTTTAAAATCCACGTTCTTAAGCAACGTCTGCGCGATTCCTTCAATGTGATCATTCAACCAGAAGCCGCTTACTTCCATCTCCTGAGCGAAATCATCAATGTTGTCCTCTCTCCTCTCACTAAGCAACCAACCAGAGACGCGGCTGAAGAGGTTCCTCTTGGAGGTAGCGAAGTCATCGATGAAAACAGATACAATGTCGTAAGGGTCATGAGAAGGTTCAGTCTCTGAACCACCATCACCGCCTTGGAGAACAATGTGTTCAGCTACAAAGGTTTCGCTTCTCTGGTTTAGATACTGAATCATTTCTGTTTTGATTTCCGCGGCTACGGAGCCTGGTGTCTTGAAGATGTCTCCTGTTGTGTTGTCGACACAAGCGGTGGCTAGGCCAGGGAGGAAGGTTTGAGATATTTTGTGGACGAGTTGTGTGTCGTAGAGATCACAGTGGAAAGAAGGTCCTCCTTCTTTCTGGTCGTTGATTTTGTCAGGATCTGATATAGGAGGATCCATTTATCTATCTGCGGATGAAACAAGACAACAAGCATGTAATGAAAATAACATATAAGCTCGCATAGACACACTAAAATCAAAATCTCTCATGGATCAAACATAAACTTTCAGAAAAATAATAATAATTCCGATTCAGACAAGACAGCTCTTAAATCCGATAAGATCCACAAATTCGCAGATTATGATATATATATATATATATATTGGGTTTGATTATAGGCAAATTCTACTGTTGGATTTTGATAAAATGAAAATGTGGAACCGAGAAAAGGACAAAACTTTACCTAAAGTTCGTGTCTTAAAAGAGACAGTGGGGGACAATTAATAGAGCCTGTAAGGGGAAATCTGATCAGACATAGATCAAAAAAGTAATAATAACAATAAGGAATGAGAATGAAGAAAAGAGGGAGAGAGACATACCTTTGGTTTTGGCGCAATGATCGGTGTGTCGCTCTTCTAAAAGTCTCTCCTTTTTTTTGTAACTGGTTTCTCTCCGTGGAAAGTATTCTAATATAACCAGTTCTAAAAGTCTCTCCTTAGAGGAGAGGAAAGAAAGAGGGGCCCACATGTAAAAAAAGAGATAAAAAAAAGAGAGATGTCACTCAAACCTCTCTCATCCTCTCTCACCCCACGGGCCGTCAATTTATACGGCCTGCCTTCTGCCCATTTTGCATCTGACCAGAAACCAGACAGAGAGAGAGGAGATTCATTACCAAAGAGAGAGAGAGATAGAGAGATAGGAGAGAGAGAGTTCGTGGAGGAGCTTCTTCGTAGGGTTCATCGTTATTAACGTTAAATCTTCTTCCCCCCTACGTCAGCTTAAGGTACCCTTCTTCTTCTTCTCATTTTACGTTTTTTTTTCTTCAATCTTGTCAAACTTTCTGGTCTGTGTTATCCTTATCCATCTTATATTCTATCAATCATTTCTCATTTCAATCGATTTTATTACAGATCTGTCAATATTTATTGCATTCAGCTATAGATCTGGTCTCGATTCTCTGTTTCTGTCTGAGAAATCTGATGATGTTTTTACCTATATCGTCGAGAATATGAAATGTTGCATTTTTCATGTGTTCAAATACGAAGTGTTTGACTATCTAGTTCGGTCGTTTTTTTTTAATTATATATATTTGATGGGTTGGTAGAGTTGAAAAATCACCAACAATTTGCTTCAATGAACTTACATTGTTATTAAAATTTGGGGGTTTATTCAATTAATCCCCAAGTGAACTTGTAGCTTTTTAAGTCGATCGTGTTTACTTTTAATGTTCAATTCGTGATTTTGTGTTTAGTTTAAACGATTATATAACAATTTTAGGTAAACTCTAGCTTCAAATACTTTAAGATTGATTAATAAGGGTGGTGTGATTTTGAAAGCTCATTCGAGTTTTGGAATGTGTGTTTTAGGGTAAAGAAAGATGAGCAGTGAAGTTGCTAGAGTGTACCGTGACATTCTTAAAGCAGTGGTGAAACATGTCGGCAAAGAAGACCACAAGTCTCATTTCATAGACTTTGTAAAGCACGAGTTTCGGAAGAACACAAACTCACTTGAGAAAACCAACCTTGCCCGCAACTACGCTTATCTTCTCAACAGCATTCACTCTCACAAGGTAATGATTGGTTTTTAGAAACAGCGTGCTTGTGTTTATGTACATATACACTGACTTGGTTGATGGCTGCTTCTTTGTGTTTAGTCTCTCTCTCTCACTTCGATAGGTAAAATTGGTTATTGCAGGAACTGTTGTTCTCATACAACATTGCTGTTGATAGAACTGAAGAAATGAAACGGGTGCTTGGCAAATCTGCAGCTAGTGTAGGACTTCGTCTTCCCGAGGTTTACCAGCCTTGATCATTTCAGCCTTCATTTCCTTTGGACACATCTTGGAATAAGTGTGATCCTCTTTGCAGCCAGACAGCTCTTGGCATCAAAAGATCTGAGATGCATGCATTAAAATTTCTCCTTGTGTGTGTGTTTTTACCACCAAGAACATATTTAGTTTCTTGATATATACAATATGTTGTATCAAACCACCAAAATGAAAGAAATTCACGACAAACTGTGATATAATAAAAGATCAAATAATAACTATGATGTTCGTGAGGAACTCGTCTGCTATGTCTTCAATAACCACCTTTTGTTCTTGAAATAGCCTTTGATCTTATCAGAATCCTAATCTGATGTGTAACGTTATCCAATACATAGAATACGTTTTCTTGGTCTATCTTATGTATATATACGGAGACTGTGCCAACGTTACTTATTTGTTTCCAGCCATCTTTACATATACGAGATCATTAAGCAACTGTACTGTCCAATTTGGTAGCTTATTTCGAACTAGAAATTTGCTTATTTGGCAACTGCACAGATGTTTCATGTTTGTTAAGTAAACAAAAGCTTCCTGAGATGTGGAAGATGGCATCGTTATTGAAACTGAGGAGCTTTTTTGGGAATAAAACTTTAGCATCTAGTCTTTGCTGATCTTCCTTGTTCTTAGTATTCTTTTGTGTGCTACGGAACAAACTTGGGATTTGAAAATATACTCTTAATAGAGGTTTTGTTATGATTCAGAAGGTATTTGCTAACTGAAACTACCTCGTGATGATCCAGAATATTCAAATCCAGAGTCCAACGGACCTGAATCTAAACTGTGCTTATCACATGATTGGGTGAGATTGCCATGGCTATCAAAAAGGTAAAATCCTACACTATGAATTGAGTATTTCGCTGTGCTACTATAACTTGAAAAGTTAGCTGCTGCTATCTGAATTGCTTTCTATTCACCTAGTGGTGTGCTGTTATTGTAACAAGCTTAGTTTACCTTCTTTAGATAAGTATGTTCATGTCTTAGGTTTTAGCAAACGATTACTTGGCGCATTGGTCTAACAATTTCTTGAGCATGTATATATCTGTATTGTTAATTCATTACTGCTTGTCCTTACATTGTGAACAGGGTTGCAACATTTACAAACTTCCAGCTGATGATATGCTACGAAGTTATGGTCTTAATAAAAGTATTGGTAGTATGAAACATATGTTTTCACCATGTTGCAGTCCCAAGCGACAAAGATTTTGGACGGAGACATGCTTGCTCAGTTCTTGGAACTTACAACTAGACAGCAAGAGTCAGTTCTATCGACACCTCTAGCATCGACAAGCAAATTAAAAGCAAGTTCAAAGCAATGTTCTTCTCCGCCTCTGATGCTACACCAAGTTGTACAATTGCTTGAGCGTATCCATTACGCTCTGCACTAGGTCATCCTCTTCTCAGCCCTCCCTCTTTCTTCTGAAAGCTAGCAACTTAATTTCCACGACCAACGGTTTTAGTGATCCAATCTGGTGCCTAACTGAGTCCACATTCTTTATGAATTTAATTGGTAGTGAAGTGGTGAATTGTGAATACTTACAAGTTTATCGCCTTATTTGCTTAGTGGTGAATCAGAGTCATAGGAGCTGCCTTTGTGTTCTTGAGGGCAATGAGTCTAAACGCTTATCCTTATTCTCTCCATCTGAGACATTTTGTAGAGGAGCATACTCCTTATGTACAGAAGTTGAGATGTGGTTTCTTTTTAATGCCTAGGACTCGTATCACAGTGTACATAAAGAATAACCAAATGTCTCTTCATGTTATGTTAAACTTGAAACAAAGGGATAGACAAACTGATTTGATAATATATATATTAGTTATCTGGTTGTATGTCTCGAAGGATTCATTTGTTCAACCGTTCGTGCTCAGGTTACACTGGGAACATATTGATATTATGTCTATAATCATGTTTACAAGTCTGCCATAACCTAATGAAGAAATGGTCAACCATACTTAAGTCTTAACAGCAGATCAAACTCCTCAAGTTTATGAGCTTTTCCAAGGTATCCCCACTACATTTCACCTTGTCTATCATATGGCCCATTGTAATAGTCGGACTAAAAGTCCATCTGTGGGATGAACCATTCTTTGGAGATTAGTCTGGACCTCTCCATGAATCTGAGATGCTAAAAAAATGTTTATGAGCTTCGCATGCTATCTGAACGAGTGGTGAGTGCCGTCACATTGCGTTATATTGCCCAGTGCAGCAGTGCCTACCAAACCCATTCTGAATCTACTTTTGGAGACATGTGTGCAGGCACGCTCACCAGCAGCAAAACTCAAGTTGCTCCCATGTGTGTCATTCAACTCAGTAGAGTCTAATAAAAGTTGCAACATAAAAAAAGATATATGGAATTTATGCTATCTTTTTTTTTGTCACAAAAAAAAAAAGGAATTTATGCTATCACCTTGTGTGAGCAAGAACTTCATATATAAGAGACACGATGATATTTTACAAATTTAGATACACCATGTCTTAGCTTTTCCTTTAAGAAACCTTAACATAGATTTAACACTCTTAAAATGGTTGTAAGATTATGAAAGCATATGCTCATAAGCTTAATATTCAAGATATCGACAGCTAGAGAGCCTAATACTTTTCAACTCGCAAAATAACAAAAAAAAAAAATGACTCATTCTTTACGGTCTTGTCACTAAGATTCCGAAAGCATATGATCATAACCTTGAAGTTAAAGAAATAGACAGATAGAGCATAAATTAATTTCACATGCAACAAACAAATCGATTATGATAAATATATGGTTAAATCATTTCTGTTTCAATGGAGGTTGGACTGGGGGGAAAAAAGAAACGAATTTTCGTGTAATTCCAATTATGAAAAGTTTTGGTGTAAATACTGAATATTTTGAACAAGAAAACAAGAACTGACAGTTGATTATTAACATTGCAACTTACATCCTCCATTTCATATAAATTTTATGAGTTGACTATATGATATATGTAATGTGTATCGTAACCAACAAGGAAGAAAATAAAAGAATCATCACTTAATTAACGAGCATGTTGTACAAGTTAAATACACGTAAGTGCTATGGCAAGTCACTGCATTAAATAAAAACTCAACTAAGTCCCTCCAAGCCTTATATATATGACCTAGATTTTGATTTCTAAACAAACAAGTTCTCAAGAAATGGTGATGGAAGAGACATCAAAAACGACGTCGCCTAACTCAGTGGTATCTGAGTTTGAAGGAACACTACTAAAGAGCAATGATCCATTCTCTTACTTCATGCTCCTTGCCTTTGACGCATCTGGTGTGATCCGTTTCACCATCTTGCTGTTTCTTTGGCCAGTAACCACACTCCTCAACGTTTTCAGCTACAAAGACGCATCTCTCAAGCTCATGATCTTTATATCAACGGCTGGTCTCCGCGAGTCAGATAGCGAGCTGGTAGCTAGAGACGTCCTCCCCAAGTTCTACATGGATGATTTGAGCATGGACACGTGGAAGGTTTTGAGCTCGTGCAAGAAAAGAATCGTGGTGACTAGGAAGCCTCGAGTTATGGTGGAGAGGTTCGCTAAGCAGCATCTTAATGCTGAAGAGGTCATCGGTACAGAGCTAATCGTGAACCGGTTCGGTTTGTCACCGGTTTGATTCAGGAAACTGATATAGATAAAACTGTATTAAACCGTGTCGCTAGCTTGTTTGTTGACCAGAAGCCTCATCTAGGTCTTGGCAGACGACCTGCTTTGTCGGATTCTACAACATTCTTATCGTTATGTGAGGTAAATTCTGTAACCAAAAAATAAAGTTGCGCAACATGTTAAGAGTCAGAACCTGCTCTAAGAATTAAGGGGTATAAAGTAAAATTTTTAACATTTGTGTTTGATTAATAAAAGCAAATGAGCAATTGTTTAGACCTAGAATTTGCTTAGCTTTGTTGTTTAGACTTAAGGAAATACTTTGATTGAAAATTTGCTATTTTTAGATTGAAATTTGATCACCTAAACCATATACCTATTCCCATGAGTCTAGCCTTCACTAATTGAGAGAAAGTTTGTTACTTGTTAGTTTCTTTAAATTGTTTTTGAATCATTTGATACTCTCAATATTGATAGCACTTAGAATTGGTTTGACATCTTTTATACTATAACATTTGATTAGGAATCTAAAAATTCCTATCATCAAATTGGCGCCGTTGCTGGGGATCAAACCTATAAATTAAAAACTTATTATTTTTTTCAGAAAAATTGGAAATCTAAGACCAATGTTTCATTTAACTTATTCGAGGATTGGCCCTAATTAGAGTTCTCATTAAATATATATAAAGAACAAGCTTGGCTCACATATTAAGATGATTGACCTCACGGTAGTAAATCATAAGTAAGTATTACTGTTCGGTCCCAAACATCCTGGTATTAAAAAGAAATATGATAACTAAAACTTTGCTAAATGGTCATATGGAATGATAATAGGTTTAACTTTTTGATACATGCATGCATGATGCACGCATGCGACCATATACTTATACCCCAAAAATTTGTCTTAAATTATGCAGTTATTATACTAAAATGTTAAAATTAGGAGCAAATTCATGAACCGGTTCAGTGGAACAACCAAGTCGAGGTGCAGCCGCCCAAACCGGTAATCTTCCACGATGGAGGCCTCATGAAGCGACCAACACCAGCCACGGCTCTCACCATCCTTCTCTGGCTCCCATTTGGAATCATTCTCGCAATGATAAGGATCCTTGGTGCGTTCATTGTCCCAATGTGGCTCATGCCTTATGTCATTAGCTTATCATTTTGCCGAGTCACCGTGAAGGGCAAGCCTCCGCCTAAGGCTGCAAACTCTGGTGGTGTGCTCTTTGTATGTAGCCACAGAACTATGATAGATCCGCTTGTGATATCTTATACCCTCGGACGTAGCATCCCTGCCGTTCTAATATCCGACCTCTCGCGGTTTTATGACATTTTGAGTCCTGTCCCTATTGTACGGTTCATCAGAAACCGTGATGTTGATGGGGCAAAGATGAAGCAAGAGCTAGACAAGGGAGATCTAGTGGTCTGTCCCGAAGGATCCATTTGTTATCAACCTTTCGTGCTAAGGTTAAATAAATTGAAACAAATTGATATTATTTGTCTAATCATGCATACTAGTCAATCATAAAAGCATATTTAATGGAAGGTTCTTAGGGTAGGACTTTTAGCAGACTATAAAAACTCTTCTTTTAATTTTTAACTAAAAATACTAAGACCAGATTCTTAAATAATATATTTAAAAACATCATTATTATAGGTTTTTTAAGACAAGGTTAAAAGTTAAGAAACAATTTTTTATATTCTCCCAAGATTCCGCCCTAATTTCTTATATTCCCCTAATAATCCGTCCTAAAAAATCTGCAATAATGATGCTTTTAGAACCAATTTTTAGGTTTTTTTTAATAGCTGTTCTTAGTTTTTTAGTTAAAAAATCTTCCATTAAACATGTTCTAATGTAGGGAAACAATGTTTATGCAGGTTTAGCGCTATGTTCGCGGAATTAACAGACAGAATAGTGCCTGTGGCGATTAATTGTAGATTTGGATTCTTCCAAAGGCCTCTAAGAAGTTGGAATGGTCTCTACTTGATCTTCTTATTCATGAACCCGACACTGGACTACGAGATTACGTTCCTTGACCAGCTTCCGTTCGAGGCCACTTGTTCATCCGGCAAAACCCCATACGACGTTGCAAACCATGTTCAGCGAATCTTGGCAGATACGTTAGGGTTCGAGTGTACTAACCTCGGGAGAAAGGCTAAGTACAATGTTCTCACTTGAAACACAAACGGTATTTGGAAGATCACTTTCTAAGTCAGCGCTTGCTAGAGATTGCAACTTCACATATTAAATAAGAAAATATGATCGCTATTTAAGTAATTAGTGTAAGGAAATCACTTTTGAATAGCCTATCGTATATATAAAAAGGAGCTCAAAATTGCCGTTACACTTTAAAACATTTAGAGTGTTTCAACTACTCTTGCAGCCTTGTTCAATGGCTGAATCACAAAATTATAGTATTTTACAACACTTGGTGCTTTGTTGCAACAATATCTTTAGGCCAAGGTACTGTCAGCATACTCCATTGCCCTTTGCTTCACGTACTCGACTCTCTCTTCGTCACCAGCAGATTTCTCATATTCCAAGAACTTCTTGAATAAAAACTGAGAAAACAAAGCACAAAATGGTTAAAAAAGAAGATTCAGTAATCTCAGATACACTTGATAAAAAGGAGATTTCTGGCTGTAGCGCACCTTCATCTTCTTAGGAGGCAAGCTCAAGCTAATGGCTCTCTCAAACAAGGATCTAATCACATCAACTTCTCCCAAACGAATCTCCTGTAATAACAAACCAAAACAACGAACATACGTCTTTAAAAACACTACAAAGATGGCAAATGAAGCAGAAGTGTTGAAGAATCGGAAAATAACAAACCTGGTCAAGATAAACACTCCACAAGTCTGTTCTTTTTGGGTATTCCCTAAGAACGCCTTCAAAAAGTGATCTCCCTCTGTCTGCAACTCCGCATTTGAACTCAAGAATAGCCGTTTGTGATATGAATTTAATGTGCTTATGGCGTGGAAGACATAGCAAGGCACGATTCACGATGGACTGAATGTCTTCCTCGTTTTGCTTTAGATAACTTTGTACTTTCTTTAACCAAACCTAAAAGAGCACACATCCGAATAAAAAGTTGTTAAAAGAGTGAATAACGAATTAGAGAAGATAAAGATCTAACGGCATATATACCTTGCAGGATTGCTTGAACTTCTTGATCATCTCATCAAGCAGCTTATCAGCCAATTTATATTGCTCTGTTCTCTCGTACACGCCCAAGAGGGCGTTGTAAACTTTCTTCGGGTCACAGTATTGACGTGCTCTTTCAAAAACTTTCTTAACAGCTTCCTGAATATGAGAAACAAACACGAGGGTAAGATTGCAAAATATATAGTCTTTTATTGGTAAAGATCAAAAAAGGCTTTCGCTGGAGTCATCTTATCTTACCTCGGGAGGACTTCCATGTTCATTTTCCAAATTGAAGTAAGCAACCCATATGTTTAGCTTCTCATCTTCTTCACGAATATTTATAGTCCTCAAGGCCCTTCAGTAGAGATTTATGATTAGACAAGACCAAAAAAAAAATGAAAGTAGAGACAATAACCGTAAGACATAAATGCTTTAATAAGAAGGTATTAGATCTCAACATGCTCTCACTTTCATGTGCATTTTCCTTTCTCTAGAATGATGTAGATAGAAGTTAAGGAAAACTACCTCTCAGCAATGGACCTTGCTTTCTCGATATCAGCCAAACTGAGCATGAACGCCATGTACTTAATCCAGACAAAGCTGCTATTTGGTGAGCTTCTAACCATTTTCTCAAATTCATCAGCACTCTCAGGAGCATGATTTTGCAGCAATCTTCCTTCAGCAGCTTGTATTTTTTGCTCTCTGCACAAGTAAATTTTATTAGCACAGGTTGAAACCAAATATATACGCATCATTTGAGGAACTAAAGAAATAGCCAACCTTTCTTCTTTGTCTTTTTGCTTTTCCCTTCTCTTGCTCTTTTCATCTTTGTTTACTCCCTGTAGTTTCTCAATCTGATCGTTGTCAAAGCCCGACTCCTCAATGTCGTCAAGGTCAACCTTAAGCGGAGTGAAGGAAGCCCTTGATTCAACTTGGGCAAGAGCCAGAGAAGTTACACTCTGCCTTTCACAGCCTGTTTCCTGGTACCCGAAATCACCAACTGCTGCAAGAACTCCCGACTTTGAATAATTGATTGGATCACATTCCATGCTGGCTTCATTTGTGTTTTCTTCAGATGGGGGCTGTGCGTTCACATCATCGTCGTTCATAAAATAAGAACTCTTCATCCCAAGCGATATACGTTGCTTTTCCTCGTCCAGCTAGGGCAAACACCAAAATAAAAGAGACAACATTTATATTCCGTAAAACAACATATACCAATGGAATCTTAAAACATTATTATGTAAATCACAGAAAAGTTACGTTCAGGATAACTCCCCGATCACATTTTACTGGGCTGTTAGAGCATAAGGCTAGAAAGACCAGTGGTTGTGAAAAGATATACTAAATAGCACTTCATACCTTCAAAATCTTTGCGGTGACGCTTTCCCCAGCCTCATATCTGGTTTGTACATCCTCAATACGATCATCAGAAAGCTGTGATTTATGACATAATCCCACCTACCACAAAAACAGGCAGATAGTAATAAAGTTAAGTATGGCAAGTCTGGTTACTCTTTAAGGCAAGTAGCATAATGTCTAAAATATCAACAGATTTTAAGGTGATACGGAACTAGATCTTTACCATGCTCGTGTTGTCTATTGTAATGAATAAGCCATAGGGCTCCACACGTTTGATGCTACCCGAAATCACGTCTCCAACATGGAATTGCTTCAAGTCATAAGACTCAGATTTTGGTTGCCCTTCCGCATTTCCTTTCTTCAAAGTGACTTCTACCCGCTTGGATAACGACTCGACATTTAACACCCTAAAACTTATTTTGTTAGAGCAGAAAATAGTGTATTACAGAATACTTGTTTGACATGAAATCTGGTTTACCTGCCCGTTACAAGTTTTCCTACTGGAAACTCTTTTTCGGGATCCTTGACAAAAGTATCACATAAATTTGACAATAGAACTTTTGCGTCGAGTGTCCTTGATAACATGATAAAGCAACCTTTTGACATCGTATTCTTGACATAACCCTGTAGAAATTTGAATTAACATAAGTTCTACCATAAGAAAATCAATTGAGTTGCTGAATCATGGTTCTTAAGCCAAAAGTACCTGGATGGCCATATCAGGAGAAAGATCTTCAATTCTTTCAAAACGTTTGCATATATTGACACTGCAAAAGTATCATCAGGTCAATAAGTAAAAAATCATGCGATTTCAAGTTGACATAGAGTCAAGGCTGAGAGAAAAGCATATAGTAGGTGATCATCAAGTAAGTTACTTATTCCACTCTACTGAAGAAAAAAAACAGAGGAATACACATGAATTGGAAGGCTGTGATAAACTTATAGACAAAATAAAAAACTTACTTATTATTGGAAGCTTCTGAGAGATGGTCAGAACTCATTCCATCTAGAGATGTCCGTAACGACAATTCAATTTGCAAAGTCCCTTTATCAGAATTGCTGATTTCCAAGACCTTGCATTTGACAAATTGGCCTTCATGAAAACCATCTAATGGATTGGAGACCCATGAATCATTGATTTCAGTAAAATGAATTCTCCCAAACACGTAAGGACCTATTTGCACACGAAGTCCACCAACACCAGGAAGTATCTTAGAAATTCTTCCACCAAGAATGTCTCCTTCATGAATGAATAGAGTAGCATCATCACCAGGAATGCTACCGTCTACATTATCCGTTTTACAGCCTCCACCGGTGGCAATGCTTTTCTGGATATCAAGTAGTGGACGCTGAACCAACCGTGCTGTTTTCTTCTCTTTATTGTACGTCAAAACATAGCCTGAAACAGCTTTACCAATGGGAAAACGCCTCTCAAATTCCTCAAGTTCACGAGCGTCGCATGCAGTGTCTAAAATGAATATGCGTGCTGTCACATTGCGAGATATTGCCAGCCTAACCCACTCTTTATCCACTTTGTAGACATATCCGCTGACACGCTCTCCAGTAACAAACTCAAGTTGTTCCTTCACTTGAATGTCATTCAATTCACTGGAGTCTACTTGAAATCGCAAAATAAAAAAACATATGGAAACATGTTATCAACTTGTGTGAACAAAAAGTTGATATGTTAGATAAACACAAGCATACTTCTTACACAAAAGCATACAGTTTTATAATAGCTAGAGATGACCATCAAAGAACAATTTAAACAGATGGATCTGAACATCAACCAAATAACACAATCTCGACTAATGAAAACAACAGCATTCTAAACCCTAAAGCATGTGATAGTTCTGTAATATGAATTCCAAGTGTGAGTCAAAGGGCCATACTGTTGGTGAAAACTTTCAGTTTTCTTGGATTACCTCTAAGTATTGCAGGCTTTGCAGAGAGCTCCCAAAGTTGACCCTTTTTGATATTAGTATGGCAGGGCTTTGCAATAACCCTTGCAGAAACTGATTGCCCGACTCTGAATTTGGAAAAAGGTTCTTCACTTGTACTTACATCATCCACCTATCCAACGAAGAGTCAAGTCGTATAAGCATATATTGTCCACCCAATACTGAAGAATGAATATTAATATCCAAAATGATAATGGCAACACAAGAAAAATCACCTCCGTTATGTGGATTCTTCCTCGGAAACTTTGGCCAAAGTTTACTCTTACTTCCAAAGGCTTTATTTCAGTAATCTGAAAAAGCAAAGATGTTAGTCTGAGACAGTAGAAGTTATGGTGGCAGGGCTACTTGAGAAGTCATGTTGTCAACCTACATCTTCTAATTCTTTCTTTTTGTTCGTTTACAAGCTCAGATAATTCTCTTGGATTTTCAGATTTTTTTTTTTTTCCTTTTAACTAACTTACCTATGTTAAGGTTTGCTATGTATAGTTTTGAAGTAATTTGATAGGTAATCATTTTAAGTACATTCTGCCCAAGTTTCAACAGTGAAGCAATTAATACTGCACCTCAAGCTCACTGTAAAGAGACGAGCTTGTTGAATAAAAATAGAAAGACATAAGAAAGTAGGGCGTTCGTACCTCGGCGTGGACAATGGAACCAACCTCACAACTGGATTTATTCTTTGTCCTCTTAGAATGGGGTGTATCAGAAATA